GCCCTTGTGTATTTACTTCGGTTTCTAGAAAGGAGGCGCCATGGAGAGGATTGGGGAGAGAGGGAACTTTTGGAGGAGGTTCGAGCTGAATCCATTTGGACTGCCTCCAACGTATCGGTAGCCCCAGACAGCTGCCAGAGGCATAATTAGATGGGTGCAAATTAGGATCCTTATGTCCGTGCAGCAACTGGAGGTAAAGGAGGTCTCCCCTCCGGCCCCTAAGTCTAGAGAGCCTGAACACTGCTCTGCTATCATTGACTTATACCTCGGACAGAGAAGCAACCAAAGAGGCGAGGCAGAGCCATTGCAGGAACCCCATCACCCTGCCTTTCCAGTCTCCATACACAAGCCACTACAGGAATGATGATACCAGCAGCCTTCGGGGGCAGACCAGACCTCTCATTTCCTGTCAGTCTCTGATTGCATTAGGAAAAAGCCCACCCCACTTTACTCCAGGGTTTTCAGCTCCATTTGGAGAGCTCTGTTTTCAGTATCTTTCCCCCCTACTTCCCTGGAACCTCTGTCACAGCTGTAATCCGCAGCAAATGGATTTCCCTGACCCTGGGACAAAGGCCTAGTGTTCCCTAGACTTGGTGGCTCCTGGGAGGCCAGAACCATCAGCGTTTCTCCAGCTGCTGGTCTCAGGCCCTGTGGGCAGCAGAGACCTGTAATAGGATCACCATCCAAGCCGGTTACAGTCAGCACGTCATTCAAAGTGGTCCCTTGTGGTTGGGAGGGGAAAATTGACTCAAGTAAGAATCACAGCCTTTAGAGCCTGAGCTCACACAAAACCACACAGTGAGTTGGAACCGAGAGCAAAACAGACTTCCAGTCCTGGATGTTAGCCGTTAATCAGATTTGGCTGTGGTTCATAGTGGGAGTCCACAGGGATGGGTGGCCTTGGGGAAGAAATGAGGAACTAGTTAGAAGAGGAGAAGCACACAATAAGAGTGGGATTTAAAAGGAAATTGAGTAGGGGTGTGTAAAATGCTGAAAGCCTAGATACCATGAAAGTTTAAGGGTTCAGATTTTATAATGTGGGGCCCCAGGGTTGGGGCATAACGGGAGACCACAGATACCTCAGTAGCCCCACTGAGACTTCAGAGCCTCCTCCGGTCCCCACAGACCAGAGCTCTGAGGCAGAAGGAAGGCGGGAGTGGGAAGGCCCTAAAAGCTTGAGTTCAAAGTGAACTGTAGTCGAAAAAGTTGGAAAACTATATGGGCCCGTGCTTCCTAATTAATTCTGTTTCTTTCTAACTCAAGTTCGCTTCCACTGGGAGACCAATGAGAAAGTGACATATGGCAGGACCCTCGCTTCAGATTTCTCCGCAGGACAAACTCTAACCCTCTGGTTGAATAAATCACCAGTAGGTTTTCTGAGAGTGCCTTTGTGTTCATGCTACTGGAGGAGAGTCGAAGGAGCCCTATCTCCTTGAGTGAGTCACTTCCCCAAAAACTGGGCCTCTGTTTTTACACAGGAAAAACAAGGGAGATTATGGCAATGTTTGATTTCTTAAACCAATTGGTGGGTACACATGCATATTGTCCTTTATGCATGCATCAAATAGAGAGAGGTTATTTTGTAAGTATAAAATATGTAATAGACATGAATTAATAATTAGGGGAATAAATTCTGTGATCTTAGTTCCTTTCTACCTCTGAAAATCTAGTATGATCTGATATGGACTTTGCCCAGTGTCATTAAAAATAATAGCTCAAGGTGAGAATATAGGTGAAGTCTCAGAGGATATAGTTTGGGCAGAGCTCTGGCTTTGGAGTCAGACCTGGTTTTGAATCCTAGTTCTGTGATGACCTTAGATAAGTTACTATGATAAGTTCTTCATTGACAAAATTGGGGTAATTGGGGAGAATTCTGCAAATGAGGTAAAAATTAAACTGAGCTATCAGATGAGACGTAGGACGGAATGTGGTGTATTTCAGGCAATTCTGTTCAACAAGCATTTATGGAATGAAACACCAGGTATACGGGGAAATGTGATGTGATCCCTGTTCTCCAGGAGTTCAGAGCCCAATGGGGAAGACAGACACATAAAGAAATCATTGTCTTGTAAAACTATTTTACAAGTGCTAGGAGAGCGGTAAGCACAAAGTGTCGTGGGAGAAGCCATCCAACTGGATGACTTGAAGGAAGACATTACAACCTAGTTTGAAGGAAGCAAGAGAAGTGTTAGAATGTTTCACGGAAGAGACTCGATTTGTTCTGAAGATCTAGGGAGCTGGTTAAATGAAAAATGGAAGGCAGGCATTTCAAGGGAAGGGAACAGCATGAGCAAAACCACAGGTAGGAAATCGAAAGCTGTCTAAAACTTCAAGTTGTTTGTAATAACGAGCCTAGTGAAAGTGTTGTGTGCAAACGTGGTAGAAAATGAGGCTGGGGAGGCAGGCAGCGTCAGTTCATAGGATGGAGGAAGGGGTCCTATGTCATGCTGAGAAGCTTAGTGGGGGAATTGTGTGGGCCCAAGAACAGAGGTAATTCAACAGATGGTGCAGAAGACAACAAGAACATCCACATGCAAAAGAATCAAGTTGGGGTGTGGTGGTTCTTCAAAAAGCTAAGCATAGAATTACCATATGATCCAGCAATTTCACTCCTAGGTACCGTATTCCCCCATGTAGAAGATGCTCCCATGTATAAGACGCACCTTAATTTGGGGGCCCAAAATTTGAAAAGAAATGTATTACATAAAGTTATTGAACTCAAGTTTTATTCATCATAAAATTCATACAACTCATCACTGTCAAAACTCTCAACCATTAGCTTGTCCTCATCTGTGTCTGATGACGAATCACTGTCTTCATATGTTGCCTCGTCCTCTGTTCCATCTATAGCATTTGAAATGCCACACTTCTTAAATGACTTGACAGCGATCTACCACCACTGTATAAGATGCACTCAGTTTTTAGACCCCAAATTTTTCGAAAAAGGGTGCCACCGTCTTATATGTGGGGAAATACAGTATATACCCCAAAGAATTGGAAGTGGGGATTCAAACACATACTTGTACACCAATGTTCATAGCAGCATTATTCACAATGATCAAAATGTGGAAACAACACAAGTGCGCGTCAACAGATGAACTGATAACAAAATGTGGTCTATACATACAACAGAACATTATTCAGCCATAAAAAGAAATGAAATTCTGTTATATGCTACAACATGGGTGAACCTTAAAAACATGTCAAATGAAATAAGCCAGACACAAAAGGACAAATATTATATGATTCCACTTATATGAGATAAGAATACACAAATTCATAGAGACAGACAGTAGATGAGAAGTTACCAGGTGCTGGACATGGGGGAAGGGGAGAATGGGGCATTACTGCTGAATGGGGTGGAGAAATTTTCTGTAAATAGAGTGGTAATGGTTTCACATCATTGTGACTATATGTTTTATTTTTTTTTCTTTTTACCACAATAAAAAAATTAAAAAGAAATAATGAAGTTGTACCCATACCTCACACCACATACAATAATTAACTCAAAATGGATCAAAGGGCCGGCCGAGTGGTGCGATGGTTAAGAACTGGCTTGGGACGCCAGAGGACCCCGGTTCGGATCCCACATATGAGGGCCAGTGACACTGCCCTCCACAGCTAAGATGCTGAACAA